CTGCAGAAATGACTCTTCAGTTAAGTCCACAGTCCAGAATCACACAGTGTAAAGAGTTTTTGGATAGCTTCTGGTCTGTTAAATAGACAAAGCAGGTAATTCCCGAATTTCACATTTACAGAGTTCTCTTATTTAAAAGTAGATGTATTGGTAGCAGTAACAAAAGTAAATGAGATTTATGTCCCCTGACCAGCACACACAAGTCATCTTCTGACTTCCATGAATGCATGGCACATGCTAGTCCACACACAAACACAAAATAAATAAACACTATTATTTTAAAAAAGAATTGAAAAAGAGTCAACTACCAGAAAATGAGAGTTTTTATCTGAATAAAGAATACAGTTGGGCTGGGTAAGGATGACACACACCTTTTAATTCCAGCACTCAGTCAGGAAAGGCAATGTTTGAGGCCAGCCCAGTTCCAGGACAGCCAGAGCTGTTAGGTGTAGAATGTAGAAACACTGTGTCAAAAATTCAAAACAGGAAAAAAGAAGAATATACTTGGAGAGATGGTACCAACATGTACTTATTTCAAAAGAAAAAAGAGAAACATTTATAGTCATGAAGTCCAGTATGTTAGAAAGTGTAATCTTCAATTTCAAATATCTTTTACTGAATTGGGTAATCAGTGGTTCATAAACAGGCACAGACTTGGTAGTTATGGAGTGACATCAAGTTAAAGTGGATAATCACTTTGACAGCTTTCATTCCTTTGGTGCTTATGCACTCTTCTTCCAAAGTGCCATTATCTTCAATCCAGTTACTGCCAAAGCACTTATGGACAACTACTCTGTAACTTCTGGTCTCTTGAAGGGTTGCCATACAGCAAAGTAGGAGAACTAGGGAGGGTATTTTGAAGAGTATCTTGTATCATTAGAATTTGCATCCCCTTCTGAATATTCTTGACTTCTACTAGTAGAGTATAGGAGTCAGAGGAAACAGAGCAATGTCCTCCTCTTTGATATGAGTATACCTTTCTTTTCTTTTTGAAGAATATTTGTGTGTGTGTGTGTACATATGAACACATGTGCACATATGTATGTAAGTGTATTGCCTGGGCACATGCATAGAGCCCAGAAGAGAGCCTTGTGTGTCCTCTTCTATCACTCGTTGTATGTTGTTTAGAGGCAGGGTCTCTCTATGGAATTGGGGCTCATGTTATCTTACTGAAATTCAAAAGGCACCAGTTATTCCTTCCTTTCCACCCATTTCAGAACTGGAGTTATAAGTATATATGGAATACTCACTTATTATGTGCGTGCTGGGATCTGAATTTTGGTCCTCATAATTGTACACTAAAGCATTCTTATCTACTGAGCCATCTCTCCAGGTCCTTCTGAGTATTCCTGGCTGCTGCTAGTAAATTATAGGAGTCAGAGGAAACGGAGGAACGTCCTAGTTTGATGAGATACTTTAAGAAATTGCTAGAAATTAGGCTTGAAAGAGAATCAGGCTAAGGCTCAACTTTTCCACCACTTAATGATAATTCTGCAGATATATTTAGCATTGCACACTTTGTTAATATGAACCATTAATCTGGACCACTGGGAAGCAAAAGATCACCTAAAATTTGTCTTTGAATGAAAACTTTTGCAATCTTGCTTACATAAATAATTTGCTGATATAGACACACGATTATAGGTAATAAGGTCAGACTGAATTAATAGTTGGATAGATCTGTCTCTGGTAACTCTAAGCAAACTCCTACATATATTTAGATGCTATTGAGAATTGGCTTAGCAATAATGGTATCTCTGTGTTAAAACAGTTTGTCATTCTGGACATGGATATAGTAATCAATGAATACCATTGCATGCATTGCCCATGTACCAAAGTCAATAATTTAATTTTGGTTAGTCATTTATTCAAATATATCATGAATTGCTACTTTATCCACACATGGAATGATGAACTAGAGTCTTAAAAAGATGCCTACACTGGATGTAGCGCCACACATCTTTAACCCCAGCACTAAGAAGGCAGACAGATCTCTATCAGCTCCAAACAAGCCAGGGCAATATAGTGTGAGCCATATCAACAAATTATTAAAAATTTGCCTAATTTTTGTTGTTTTTGAGACTGGGTTTCTCTGTATTGTTGGAGGCTATCCTGAAACTTGCTCTGTAGACCAGACTGGCCTTGAACTCTGCCTCCCGAGTGCTGAGGAAAAAGTTGCCTAATATCTTAATCCCCGTCTCTGACCTAAAGGAGTGACAAGCTAAAATATAGCGAAGAAGTACAATTCAAAACAATTGGTGGTAAATATTCAGTTGTTATTGATTCTTACACTCCTCTAACCTGATGATATTCTAAGCATAATTAAAGATCCATTGAAGTGATTCTTTTCCAGTGACAGCTTTTCTGGAAACTCATCTCCTCCACTCTTCTCATCTCCAAATACATATACCTAAGCCCATTTCTGTAGCTTCAATTACTCTTTTGGAGACCCACAGCATTTGCTCACAGTTTTATTGTAATGCTTATTACAATAATTGATATTTGGTTCCTTGTGTATTTGTGCCTCCCACTGTATTCCAGGCTCTTCCAGCAAGCAGGCTTGCTCATTTCTGTATTCCAAGTCACTAGCATAGAACCTAAATAGCAAGATACATCAAAAACTGGATTTGAGGAGGAGGATTCTAAAAATAAGCAAACATAAAAATCACATGCAAGATAAAAATGTAATGAGAACATATAGGAAGGATTAAGTAATTCCAGCTTCACGGGAGTGTGATATTTCAAATAACCCTTGGAAAATGAGTAAGATTTGACAGGTGGAGATAGGTGGTACAAGAAGCAAGGGAGATAAGAAGAACATTTAAAACACATTTGGGAATATAGGATTGACAGTCATTGTGATAAAATAATGCTACTAGTTATACAGGGTCCTTATCTATACTTATAAACAAGCCTTAACAGAAACTGTACTTTTGAACATCTTAACAGGCACTTGATTAATAAACATTTTGAAAAGAAAAATACTGTATTGTCCTTTAAAACTGACAATTTCAATCATTATACTTCTCACCCTGGCCCCCAAATTTGTCCAAATTTGGGGAGGCTGATATGTTGTAAAGTCCATTATTTGATTTCAAAATCCTATGTTGAGAAGAGTTCCTGTGTTAAGTTTGTTTTTCTTTTTCACATAAATACATAGCCCATGCTGAGGATAAAGAAAGACGCAAAAGAAAAACATTTTTACACTGGTACCTAGTTCTGATAGAACTACCTGTATTCCCTGGGAGATATTTTATAGTCAGAGATCCCCTAAACACTTACTACCTGGAAACTGGAAATCCAGCAGGACCTACTTATTGCTTTTGAGGATAGTCGATGATACATGTTTGTTTTCTTACTAATATTTATAGAGGATCTCTGTTTAGCCTTAAGCTATGCCTTCATGAGAGAGCATTGAAAATGGATGTGAGGACTACAGTTCCTTCAGGTGGGGCAGTCAGCAGTTCAGACTGTAATGTGGAATAGTTCTGGTTCTCTCCCTCTCTCTGGCCCTTCCCTCCTATCTGCATGTATATGGATGTTGTTGGAATGAAGGCAAATTCCACACAAAACAATGACAAAAACTGGAATTTCAAAACTAATGCCTTTGGACATTTGCTTGTTCTCACCAGGACTAAAATAGCACAAGTATAAATAACGCAGCCAAGGACCATCCCTGATATTGCCAGCTTGGAAGGACAATGATGGATGTTAATAAGCTACTTTTAGAACAGAATTGCCTTCAGGAGTCTAATTGGCAGATGTTCATATTGGGATATAGTATAAAGGCTGTGTGATTTTCTTTTACCTGGAGGCTATCAGCAATTAGGGAATATCCCCAAATCAAAACACTTTTGTGCTCAGATAACTTATTGACTATTATCCCACCCACGTATTCAGTCAGTACGTTTATAACCCACTTCAATGTCTTTGCTTATGTCATCCATTTTTTCTGGGGTATCCCTTCCTTTTCTTTACTAGCTAATAACTACCTATCACTCAAAATATACTCTATACAATTCTGCCCTAGTCTTTCAACATCCATTGTCTATAAAGTAATTTCTACCTACTCAGGCCACAGAATCTCTTTATTCCTTAAACTTCAGCACTCTAGTCTAAAACTGAAGTATTTTGCTGGTTCTTAATAATTTAATTAAAGATAGTAAACCATAGTGACTAAAATGCATATATTCTGTACAACCTTGGGTAATAGAGATAACCTTTAGAAACCTCTCATTTGTTAAATGCAGATATAAATCCTCCCCACCTCATAGACTTGTCCTGAAAGTTAAATGACAATGACGCATGCCAGCTGCTTTGCTTGACATATGGTAAGCACACCATAATTAGTGGTAGTGGAAGGCTGAGGTGGTACTAGTACTAACAGTAATTATCATTATCATCATCATCTGTCTCTTCAACTGGACTGTGCAGTCTTTGTGGATAGGGGACATGTGTACTGTCTGCTTTTTCATTGGTTTTCCCCGAGCCCCCAGAATATTCCATTAGCTGCTGATATGCTCAGCTCTTTTAATTGTACTACTGCAAGGACTTAAAATCTCATCAGAAGTATAATTTTCATATTTTATCGCCAACTACAGGAGCCTTTGGATGATTTTATTTTCTTGGTTTGTATTCCTGAGCAGTTTGAATGGGATCTGCTGAAGTAATAATATGCTAGTAGACAAAGGATAAGAAAACTTCTTAATTATTCCAATCTCCTTTGATGTGTACATTTGTAATGGATACAAATGGGGGAAAGGGTAGAAAGGAAATACACTGAAACACCATCTGGTAAATTGCTTTAAATTTCATGACTTCCTGCCACTTCAAGCTGTATTATTTCAATCCCTGTAAGAAAACTAGCATTTCATTGAGGCGTTATCCACCACTTGTCCATTGACCATTTTTGGAAAGTGTTTGCCAGAGTTTACTCTAATAGCTAAACTAGGTACTGGAACCTCAACACAACAAATTTATTTCCTGTCATTTCATTTCAGCTGATAATACTAGACCTCTGAATGTGGATTCCACTGCAATGACACTGCCTGTGTCTGATCCAACTGCATGGGCCACAGCAATGAATAATCTTGGAATGGCTCCACTGGGAATTGCTGGACAACCAATTTTACCTGGTATGTTATTTTTAATTACATCACAAGTACATCTTTTTATTGACTTGTGGTAATAAATTTAATGGTATGATACAACTTACTTTGAATTTATGATTTTCTAGATTCTGCCTAGAGTGAACAATTTTATAATATGAGCTGTATAGGCCAGATTGCTAGTATGGTGGCACTTTGTGTATATCTAAGAGTATATCCGATGCAAGATAGAGTCATTGAACATGTAATGAAATAAAAGGCCACAGAATTTTGACAAGTAATAACAAAGCATGTCTAATTTTATAGACTTCTTACAGAACACAAATAAACATATGCTCAAAAAGAAAACTAATCTAAACGCATCTTAAATCCTAAATTCCTAGAGGGAAAGTAGGAAGGTGTAGGTACATTGGCTGCAAAATAATTTTGACATTGAATAACACTGTTTACACATGTATAAACACACATGAATGTGAGCATGCATGTGCACAAGAATGACCATGATGGACTAGCACCATCTCCACTAAGTATGAAGCCAAGGACGGGAAGATAGCTCAGAAGGTGAAAGGCACGTTGTCCCAGAGTGTGATAGCTTGACCTTGATTCCCAGAAACCACATGATGGAAGGAGAGAACCTTCTCCTGCAAGTTGTTCTCTTTAATCCCACATGTGTACCATGGCACATGTGCACATGCATGTGCATACATGCACACACACAAATCAGTAAATAAATATTTTTGAATGTTTATTAAAAACTAAAATCAGAAGGAAAACATCACAACACATAAAGGGGTTCATGTGGACACAGAAGTGACTTCCTGGCTAGTAAGAGCTAATTAATGCCATTTCAGGGAGGCTGGGGTGGCCTTTTGAAATGCATAAACATTAATCTCCTTAGTTTTATTTAATTGTGGCCCTGCACAACAAGCTCTAATCAAGCTAAATTCTTGCTGCTCAAAATGTGTTTTGTACAGCCCTAGAATTGTTTTGATTCCCAAAACATGAGGCCCCAACCTACTGAAACAGAAATTGCGTTTTCACAAGATACCCAAATAACTCACAGGCATGTTCACATTGATCACAAAGATATCACTTTGCTGTGCCATTTGTTCATGTAATTAGTATGTTCCTTAGTTTCTCCATTCCAGTTTGAATTTTAAATCTTTATGGATTAAAATGGAATTGATGACAATATTAGCAATAAATTAAGAGATGCTATTACGGTTTTTTGTGTTTTTGTTTTTTTCTACATTTTTTATTTAAATTAGAAACAAGCTGACTTCATTGTCAATCCCAGCTCCCTCTTCCCCCCCTTCCTCCCCTGCCCTCCCAATCCCCCTAGCCCCCCATCCAATCCCCACTACACTCCAGGGAGAGTGAGGCCCTCCATGGATGATCTCGAAAATCTGTCATATCATCTGGGGCAGGGCATAGGCCCTCCCCCCATGTGTCCAGGCTGAGAGAGCATCCCTCCATATGGAATGGGCTCCCAAAGTCCATTTGTATGCCAGGGATAAATACTGATCTACTACCCAAAGCCCCATAGATTGCCTGAGTCTCCTCATTGACACCCACATTCAGGGGATATGGATCAGTCCCATGCTGGCCTCTCAGCCATCAATCTGGGGTCCATGAGCTCCCCATTGTTGAGGTCAGCTGTTTCTGTGGGTTTCTCCAGCCTGGTCTTGACCCCTTTGCTCACCATTCCTCCCTCTCTGCAACTGGTTTCCAGGAGTTCAGTTCAATGTTAGCTATGGGTGTCTGCCTCTGCTTCTATCTGAATGAAGGCTCTAAGATGGCATACAAGGTAGTCATCAATCTCATTATCAGGAAGAGCATTTAAGGTAGCCTCTCGACTACTGCTTAGATTGCCAGTTGATGTCATCCTTGTAGATCTCTGGAAATCTCACTAGTTCCAGATCCTCAAACCTCTAATGACTCCCTCTATCATGGTATCTTTCATCCTGCTCTCCTCTATTCTTCCGCTGACTCAAACTTCCTGTTCCCCCATGTCCTCCTAGCCCACTCACTTCTCCCCCCTCTCTTTTTTCCAGCTCCCTTCCCCCCCCCCCCGTTCCCCCATGCTCTCCATCTGCTCAGGAGATCTTGCCTCATTCCCCATGGGGTACCATGCATATCTCTCTTAGAGTACTCCCTGTTTCCAAGACTCTCTGGCAGTGGGATTGTAGGCTGCCACTCCCCTGTTTCATGTCTAAAATCCACATATGAGTGAGTACATACCATGTTTGTCTTTTTGTGACTGGGTTGCCTTACTCAGGATGGTTTCTTCTTTTTGGGGGTTTTTGTTTGTTTGTTTGTTTGTTTTATCAGTGAGATACCATTTGAATTTCTTTTTTACTTTTTAATTAGATTATTTTTTACATCTGAATGAAGGCTCTAGGATGGCATACAAGGTAGTCATCAATCTCATTATCCGGGGAGGGCATTTAAGGTAGCCTTTCCACTACTGCTTAGATTGCCAGTTGGTGTCATCCTTGTAGATCTCTGGAAATCTCACTATTTAAATTAGAAACAAGCTTGCTTCACATGTGAATCCCAGCTCCCTCTCCCTCCCCTCCTCCCCTGTCCACCCACCAGACCCTCCAATCCCCCCCCCACCCAATCCCCACTCCATTCCCCAGAGAGGGTGAGGTCCTCCATGGAGGATTTCCCGAGTCTGTCATTTCTTTCAGGGCAGAGTCTAGGCCCTCCCCCCAAGAGTACATGCTGGGAGAGCATCCCTCATTGTGGGATGGGCACCCAAAGTCCATTTGGGTTTTTTTGTGTATGTGTGAATTAACTGCTTTTCATTACAGGTAACACAAAATTTCAAACTGTAAACTTAGTTTCAGGATCACATGTGTTTTTTATTTAAATTAGCAACAAGCTTGCTTCACCTGTCAATCACAGCTCCCTCTCCCTCCCCTCCTCCCCCTCACTCCTACCCCCCCTAGCCCCCCACCCAACCGACACTCCATTCCCCAGAGAGTTTGAGGCCCTCCATGGGTGATGTCCATAGTCTGTTATTTTGTTCAGGGCAGGGCCTAGGCTCTTCCCCAAGAGTCCAGGCTAAGAGTGCATCCCTCATTGTGGGATGGACACCCAAAGTCCATTTATATGCCAGGGATTAAATACCAATCTACTGCCCAAGGCCCTATATATTGACCAGGCCTCCTCGCTGACAACCACGTTCAGGGGGTTTGGATCAGTCCCATGCTGACCTCCCAGGCATCAGTTGGGGGTCCAAGAGCTCCCCATTGTTCAGGTCAGCAGTTTTTGTGGGTTTCACCAGCCCGGTCTTGACCCCCTGCTCATCATCCCTCCCTTTCTGTCACTGGGTTCCAGGAGTTCAGTTCAGTGTTTAGCTGTGGGTGTCTGCCTCTGCTTCCATCTGTTACTGGGTGAAGGTTCTAGGATGGCACATAAGGTAGTCGTCAAACGCATTATGGCATTTAAGATAGTTTCTCCCCTATTGCTTCATTTGCCAGTTGGTGTCATCTTTGTAGATCTCTGGTAATCTCACTAATGCCAGATCTCCCCTCAAACCTATAATGTCTCCCTCTATTGTGGTATCTCTCATCTTGCTCTTTTCTGTTTTTCCCCCAACTCAACTTTCCTGCTCCCCCATGTCCTACTCTTCCCTCCTCTTCTAGCCCTCTCCTTTTCATGGCTCCATCTCCCCTCCCCCCATGCTCCCAATCTGTTCAGGAGATCTTGTCTCATTCCCCTTCTCTGGGATACCATGCATATCTCTCCTAGGGTCCTTCCTGTTAAGCAGACTTTCCTTTTCTAACTCCAGCATTCTTTCAGACTGTGGTTTTTTGTTGTCTCTATTTCAGCTTTCAAACCTTGCACCGTTTGAATTGTTTCTTGCAATTTTTGGTTTGTCTTTTCTTCCATTTCTTTAAAGGGTTTTTTCATTTCCTCTTTTAGTGTCTCTATCAGCTTCATGAATTTGTTTTTAAGGTCGTTGTCTTCTGCTTCATCTGTGTTGGGGTGTTCAGTCCCTAGACTCTGGTGACATCATATTGATTTTTCTGTTGTTGAATGTGTTCTTATATTGTTATCTTCCCATCCCTTCTTCCAGTGGGTACAGGTGAGGTCTCTTTCTTTCCTGGTGTGTACGGGTCCAAGGTTCTCTTCTGTTGGGTGTAAGCAAGTCCAATACTCTGATGGGTCTCACAGTGGGTGCAGGTGGGTCTGAAGTATTCCCTCTCTCGGTGGTTGGCAGATAGATTAGCACAGTGTTATCAGCAGACTCAAGGTTGCTTGCCAGTAGATCACAGAGAGGGCAAGTGAAAGGAAGTCCAGCCCTAGGGAGGCTGGAGCTCACTTCTGCCCTGAGTGGGGGCAGGAGTAGACTGGCACTCTCCTCAGGCTTCTGCTTGCTTGGTCCTCAGGTGGGAGTTGACCTGGCTGCAGTCCCGAGGCCAGGAGATCCCAGAGCGAGGTGCTATTATGTTAAACACTGGGAAACAAGTACAGAAGAGATCAATCAAGAAAAAAAATATGTGAATGAGAAATGGATACCAAACCAGAAATTTCATCTATACTTGATACCTTTCATAGTGCCAGGAGGTTCTATTTATGCTACAAGGAAAGGAAAATACTCAACAATCTTACCCCACTATGAACTTTACAAACTACGATAATGAATGACCTGGTAAAAAGTGTCCAGTGGTAGTTATGTTATAGGAGTAACTAGCCTCTTTTTGATTGAATTTAAAGACTACTCTACAAGACTGAACTCATGCCTTGCACTGTTGACTGGCTAAGTCATGGGCCCTAAATGAGAGCATAAAATTATTAGTCTGCTTAATGGACATAGTATTAAACTACCCTGTGTTCTTATCTTCTATTCCTAGGTTAGTACATCTCTTATCTCTCAGAAGAGAAGCTTCTTTTTGTAATAGATAGCCATTAACCCAGAGACCCACACTGATCAGTGTGCAGAGAATAAGACACCATGGAGTGCTCATCTCTAAATGGAGTATCCATATAATACCCTGCTCACAGCTCAGGGATCA